GAATTTAACATCATCTGAACCTGTGAACACAACTTTTTCAGAGGAAAAGTCGGTCTGAACAGCTATTAAAACACCCCCGCCTTTTCTATCTAAGCGATCATTTCTTAATATTTCATACTTACTACACAATATTTCACTATTAAACACATTCGGTTTTAGCCAAGTTTCAGTAAAAACCAAAATTTCATTATTTAAATCAAAAGACTTTAAGTACAGCTCAGTTAATTTTGTATTTGGACCTCTAACATTTGGTAATAAATATTGAAGAAAAAAATACTTATAAGTTTTTTGATCCTGAGGAGGGAATTTGAACAGTATTTTCATTCCGAGCTCGAGGTTTAAACTCAAACTCTCGAACTAAAGCACCATTGGGCCAGAATGAACCATCAACAATGTTTTGAAAATGGTCGGCGGAAATATCAATTTTAAAGGAAGATATGTTTCTTTCGTATAAAAAGTTAAATTTTTTAATAGCTATGTGCCGGGAATTAAGCTTTGATTTTATATAAGACTTGACATCTTCTACCGACGTTTCACTAGAAAAGCGCAAAACAAACACAGATTTATTCGCAGGAACTACGATTAACTCTTTCGGTAACGGAGAAGGTCCACTTTGAGATGTATGTTCAGACACAGCTGTCGTTTTTGCTGCAGCCCTTGTAGTGACACCTGAGGAAGATGCAGATTGAGATAAGTCAACACACGGAGAACTAAAACTTATTAATTCCTTATTTAAGCCGGGAGTAGGCAAAGAATCAATTGGCGGAGTGTGAATGTCTAAAGCAATGGGATTAGGAACAATGCTGTCTCCTCCTTGCTTCCGCTTTTTTGAAGCTTGTTTAAGCTTGGGTGCTTCAATGCACTTATAGTCTTTAAATGCATCTTCATATCGCTTAAACTTTTCGTTTAGAAGTTTACCCAACTCCTGGAAGCCACTTCTGGCGCTCCTAAACATTTTACAAAGCTCAACTTCGGTCGATCTGCACTTGGGGCAAGACCGACGAACACCTTTGTTATCGGTTATGATATCGGCCACCCTACCATTGAGACCAGCACATTTTACACACAACCAACACGCAACGCTCTAAGTCGTTTTTAATGTTACATTTTTCAAAACAGCAGGATGAATACATTGCAGCGCGAAGTAGTAACAATTTGTATGTACAAGAAAAACTCACAGTGTATGCTTTTAGTACGACAGTAGCAAAGATGAGCGTTTGAGAGACACAGAAGTCTAGGTATTGTCAGTTCAATGGTTAGAAACCGTGCTCAACTTAACAGTTTTAAAGCCACTGAACCAAAAAGCTTAAAAGCATAAAAGCAAGCCAAAATCAACTGTTTGCAGGAAAATTATTTGATCGATGATAAGCAAAATGTATGATAAATCGCGAAAGATGGGAAAATGCACTCTCACGCAAAACAACAATAATGCACAAAGAATGACAAGAATATTAATTTTTAATTTTTAATCCACGCACTTTATGTCTAAAACACAACAATTTATTGGAGCCTTTTCCAGTATAAATTACACATATTAGAACTGCTTAGCACTTAGATAAACAAAGTTACTTTAGAAATTCTTTCAAACGAGTGTTTAAGTGACCGCACAGTACGAACGTTGCCATACACTTGTAAAAACTTTTCTTTTTATCTAACGCGCGGCATTTTTTTAAAAATTTACATTTGTGATCCCGGATTGCGATAGGTCGTTCATACAACTATGTTCGCAACACCGCCATTTCGCCAAAAATGCCAATGCGACGTTTTATGAATCGTACTAATGTTTTAATATATTGCAAAATTTTCTCGTTTTTTCTATTGTGTTTTTGATTTTTTTGTGATTTCATTTGTCTTTATTTTGATTGTCTGGATTATGTTATACGCCCTCTGCGCAGAAATAGTGTGGATGGCATAGTCGGAGGAGCGTTGAAAAGTTTATGAAAATAAATTATATATTAAATTTATTTAAACGGAAAATTTGGGTATAGTCATATGCATATCAAACGAAATGGTAATAAATTTTCTTAATACCAAAATTACGGTACAAGTATCGTAATAAGGCTACTTTTGAAGAAAAAGCAGTGTAAAAGGTGTTTTCAGAAAGGTACTTTAATTTCCCTTAAAACGGTGTATGGTCTCAAAAATACCGATATAATCCCGAGAATCCGGAAAATCCTGAAAATTTCGAAGTAGTCTCGAAAATTCTCGAAAATAGTTCAGAAAAAGTCCCGAGAATCGAGGCCTAAAATAATTCCGCAAATACCGATATTGTCCTGATAATCCTCAAAATTTTGAAGTAATCACGAAAATCCCCGAGTAGCCCCGAAATCGTTGAAATAGCTCCAATAATACAGGAAATCCTAAAAATCCCAAAATAGTCCCGAAAATTCCCTCTGCAATTGCCGGAAATGATACAACGTGCTACGGTTTAATGATTGATGAAAATCATTATATGATGAATTTATTGACGGCTTTTGCTCGAATTTAGGGATGAACAAACGACGAACAAATGATTTATCACAGTTAACAAACAAAAATAAGGAAATTCTTTCACCTGAGGGGCTAAATGCAGGAATTGTGACATGTAAATGTTTGGCGACGATCTATCGATGCAATAATAATAAACCCAAAATAATCCGTAGGAGGAGCTAGATGCAGGAATAACGTTAAGTGAAAATTGAAAAATTAATTATTAATATGTGGACGAACAGTAAAGAACAATCAACGAACTATCGATTGCAATACAAAAATCTTAATATTTATACTAATGAAGTGCTAACGTCGCTTGGGTGCTACGTAGTAGTAAACAGTGCTGCGCTGTCACTTCAATTGAAGTTTTTGACTTCACTTTGGAAGCCTTCACTTCGTCACTTCATTTTATTTCGATTTACTTCACTTTC